TTTGCCTGAGTTGTCGGAGCTCCTGTGTGTTGCTATTGCCTGTATCCTGCATTGACTACTTGTGTACCGATCCCGGTTTCGTTCTCTGAGTTTGCTTGTTTTCTGCCTGTCCTGACCTCGGCTAGTCTATTGGATTTCTGTTTGTCTCCTCCCATTGTACTCTGCTCCCGTGAAAGGTCTCCTCATCCTCAGCTGGGCATACCCGGGGGCCGCAACCTGGTCCCAGCTTGCTGCAAGTCCATCCCCACCATCAGGGGCTCTGGTGAAGAAGCAGGCTGGGGCTTAGACTCCGTGCCCAGGGGAACCCCAAGTTGAGTATCCACAAGGGCTCACTACCACAGGTGCAGACAAACTGATTTGTGAGCCTACATTATACCGCAGCATATGCTACCCTTCATGTTAATATTTGCCACTGGATTTTACCTTAATATCTGAAATATCATTACCAATGATTGTGTTTGGATTCACTCCAGTATTGCAGTTTGATGATGCTAGGTTATGTCAGTGTTTCTCAACCTTTTTTCAGTCAAGGCACCCTTTAAAATTATGGAAAGTCCCAAGGCACGCTTTAAAATAATGGACTGTCTTGAGGCACCCCATTCTAAAATGTGGTGCCTCAAGACTGTCCAAAATTTTAAAAGGGCACCCCATTCTAAAATGTGAAAAACTATTCTGATAGTTTTATATAACGCAGCAACATCCACACACATAGGACATCCAACATTAGAGGAGATTAATTCTTTCAAAGCAAACACACTTTTGCACACTGGTACTGATTAGTATTCCAGTGTTTCTCTTCTCCCTCAGTTTTCGCCATCACTGAGCTAATGTGACCCCAGCACTGATGGAGAGGGGCAGGGGAGAGTTAATCTAGGATGCTGTGCTGGCAGCTGACATCCTCCTTATCAACTGATGATGTCATTGATTATCAGGTGGCTAATAGTGCACAACGAAGACCTGTGACTTTGTGTAACTAAAAGGCAGGCTTGCTCCCCCCATTGGCCTGTATAAAAGTTTGGGGCAATTTTTAGACATTTTGCCACCCCTAAAGAAACCTCAAGGCACCCCAGGGTGCCTGGGCACCCTGGTTGAGAAAGGCTGGGTTATATTATTGCTGACCTAGATGTCATTGTCATTTTACCCAACATGGAACTGTCTTTTCATAGCGACTGTGTACTGTCAGCCTACGTAACTTGTCTGACCTTTGCTAAATAAAGGAATTACAAAAAAATAAGTGGCATGGCACAAATTACCTGGGGACATAGAAACTATATAATGCAAACAGCAACTGTGATTTGCCTACTGACCAACCATCACCTTTTTTTGTTCATTATGTACATTAAAGCTGACATTCCTAGTTGCACTGCACGTTCTTTGATCTCACAGAACAATAGTTAAAAGAACTCTGCACATACACTTAGCTTGTTTAGTGATTTACAGAGCAACCATTTTGGCTTGTAACAATGCAAAAACATTTCTGTCTGCACTGCTCATCTTCCAATGTTTTCTCCTGCGGATAAACTCATTAAAGGTGCAGTTGCATTAATATTGTATATGATGATCGTGATTTTAATGCCATTATGACATTTCTAAAAAATACATATGGATGTAAAAATTATTGTTGTTGCACTACTCTCCCTTAGGGGTTGCTGTTGAATTTGGGTCCCCCTATAGTCCTGCACAGCCAGTCAGTTAGCATTTTCCACACTAGCTTTCATTCATGGATAGAAATTAGGTCTTGAGCGTTGGTTTTGTTATTTTATTGAGGGGATTAAACTTGGATAGGGTAGGGGTATATAAGATGCCCAAGGGAACCGAAATCTGAGGACAACTTCCTGAACTATTCACAGCTTCTTTTCTCTGACACAGTCTCTGTTGGAGTGCTACCAGAAGATACTAATTGTACTACCCCGGACTCTATATGAACTCCTCTTCACCCTTTAGCAATCTGGAGACTTTCTTCCTGAGCAGTGGATCTGGCTCCTGTTCCTTTAAATGGATAACAGTCACTAGCAGAGGGTTAATTTGGTTTCCTACCAAAGTGCTCCTTCACCTATCCGCACAGGGGGTGCAGGTTTACTCATTCAGATCCTCTCCTGTAATGTTTGCGGAATGACTGCTGCTATCAAGCCTATCAGCTCCTTTACTGACATACAGCTGGTCCTCTCTCAGGGGACCAGTGGGTCCAGAGTTTTCCTCTTTTCCAGCTCCAGGCTCGCAGGCAGGCCTCATCCCACCGGGCCTCCTGGCAGCTTTCCACCTCAACCTCACATCTACCTTTCTCTTTCCACCTAACTCTCCTGCAACTGAGCAGGATCCAACACTTTTAGGGGAATCCAGCCCAAGCCTTCTATTGGGGATTGGCTAAGGTCCCTCAAAATTGCAGCCAACAACTCATCAGATCCACCCATTACCTCCAAGGCCCTCCTCCAAAAACCCCAGAGCAGGGGGAACTTCCAAAGGGGCTGGCCTGCAGAATCTCTCAGTCCTGACCAGAATTTAACCCTCCGACTATCTCACCTGATCTGCTAATATGCTCCTCACTAGCCATCAGGGTCTAGCTCCCCCTAGCTAAACCAGGGGGGTGCTACAATGTATTTTCTGAATATATTGCACTAGTATCTTTAACATCATTTACTGCCTAATGTAATTATATTATCTATCAATACCTATCTCCAAGCAAAGCTTTCCCCTTTCCTATTGTCCCTTGCACCCATTCACCGTTTTTAAAAAATAAAACACTTTCTGTGGTTTTGGACTACAATTTCTTGAAACCCAATATGCCACCATCATTGCCTCCATCTATATAAAAGCTACAGCTTCCCAATTATTAAAAGAGAACTATATCTCCTTATTTATGTTGTCCATTAAAATGTAATCCATGATGACCCAAAATGGTCCAGACATCAACAATGTGACCAGTGGAGAAGTGGGGCACAAATGCCTACTCTTTGCTAATGACATCCTTAACTCCTCTCCCACTACCACATTTCTGATTCTACACAAAATCTGCAATATGTTTACAGTTGTAAGCTAAGAGGAAACAGCACCAGGTCTATGGGGCAACTCTCAACCCAGGATAAGCAGAGTCACCTTTTTGCACCAGGGAGACAGGGCAGTCTGGGTAAGTCATGGACCATGAAATGCCACCATTCTGCTCAACTTGCACACCTACTTACTGTCCATTGTAAAGAGATGAAGCCTTGGTGGATGACTATAAGGTCCCAAAACAATTTAAAAGTTCTCCAGCATTTTTTAAAAGCAAGCCAGCAAAAAAAAAACCTAACTGAACTGTTTCATCTACCTGGAGGCAGCCATTTCCTCCTTAAAGCGGAACTTCACTCTCAGTCAACACTGAGTATTTTTAATCCGTATGCTTCTAGCATTGGTAAATAGATAGGAAAGTATATCATACTTAGTTGTTTTAAACTTTTTTTAACATTTCTTCCATTGCTTCTTGGTTTCCATGCCTAGGCAAATAATGTCATGCATCCCAGGAGTCTTCAGGAAGGCAGGGGTTTTCTTAGCTAAGCGCACCCTCCTGCCTGCATGCCTGAGCTAAGGGCAGACTGATTCCACAAATTAAATGCTACATTAATCTTCTGCCCTTATTCAAGATGGCCATGGCCAGAAATGCTAGGGATTGTTCTTTAATGTGATTTCTTGTCAAAGTAAAGCATGGAGACATGGATAGATGGGTGAGTTTGCTTTGAATATTTAAAATGAATTAAACAGCGTTTTTGGTTTGTGCTGCTCAGATGCAGTGAAGTTCCACTTTAAAATTACAACAAAAATGACACCAAAACCCAGATGTCTATATAGGCAGTTGAAGACTTTCTATGTGTGTGTGTTTGTGCCAGACACCAAGGGACCTTCTTCTAGGTGAACTTGCTGTTAATCTGTACACTGCTATAATAGTTAATACTTGGGGATCCAAAAAGTTAGTCTTGGAGTGAAAGTGTGGTTTCAATATTTATTTGCAAACATATGCACTAAAAGCCTTTGTTTCAAGTTGAGACAGTTTAGTTTTTTTTCAGGCTAGGTTAAAAGTTTGCTGGGCACTCCCTTTAACATAGAAACATCAAATAGTGATAGCAGAAAAAGACCAAATGGTAATATATAAATTCACTTACCATTAACTGACTTACTACCTCTGCTGGAAGTCTTTTCCAAGCATTCTCTACATTTTCTATGTAAGAATATTTTCTAAGGGCAGTCTTGAACTTTTTTCCTGTTAGTTTTAGATCCTGTCTCTATGTTCTTGATCTTAGCTTCATCACATTAAGAATAAGTGAACTTATCCTTTTAGCCACTTTGCCCTGACCTAACTAACCCATCCTCCCCCTCCACAGATGTATATTAACCTCAATCTGAAAGTCATTGACTCTGCTGCTTGTTTACATCCAGCGCACCAAATCGCTCTGTCCTGGCAATGCCTAGGCATTTCAGAATCCGTAGACTTCTATGGGGCTGTGTTATGATGCTGAAAAAAAAAGGAATATGGTGCCATAGATGTCTATGGGGCTGTAATGAACAGCCGCATCCAGGACAATGAGACTTGCGCAAATGGATGTAAACAAACACAGAAGCAGTGGCCAGCAGATGGATGTAAGTATGCATCTGTGGAAGGAGAAAGGGGTGAGTTAGATCATGTCAGGGCAAAGGAGCAAAAAGGATAAGTGCAATTTATCTTAAAATGCACTTATCCTTTAACCACTTGCCTACTGGGCACTTTTACCCCCTTCCTGCCCAGGCCAATTTTCAGCTTTCAGCACTGTCACACTTTGAATGACAATTGCGTGATCATGCAACACTGTATCCAAATGAAATGTTTATCATTTTTTTCACACATATAGAGATTTCCTTTGGTGGTATTTAATTACCACTGGGTGTTTTATTTTTTGCTAAACAAATGAAAAAAGACCGAAAATTTTGAAAACAAAGTTTTTCCTACTTCTTATGATCAAATTTTGCAGAAAGGTAATTTTTCTTCTTCACTGATGTGCGTTGATTAGGCTGCACTGATGGGCACTGATAGACTGCACTGATGGGTATTGATAGGCAGCACTGAGGGGCACTGATGAGGTGGCACTGATAGGCAGCAGTGATGGGCACTGATAGGCTGCACCAATGAGGCAGCACTGGTGGGTATTGATGAGGAGGCATTGGTGAGGCTGCACTGATATGCGACACTGATGGGCACTGATAGGTGGCAAAGATGGGCACTGATGGGCACTAACAGGCAGCACTGAAGGGCCCTGATAGGCGGTGCTGACTGGCGGCACTGATAGGAGGCACTGACTGACAACACTGATGGGCCCAGATCGGCAGCACTGATGAGCACAGACTGGCAGCACTGACGGGCATATATTGGGAGCACTGCTGGGCACAGATCTGCAGCACTGCTGAGCACAAATTAAAGGCACTACTGGGCACATATTGGCAGCACTGCTGAGCACTTTTGGGACTGCACTGCTAATCAGGGCACTAATAATCAGTGCCCTGATTATCAGTGTAGATGTCTCCTTTCAGACTTCCTGATTATCGGCAATACTTTTCTCATGCTGTGACAGCATGAGGGAAGAACTGCCGATAAATGGAAAGTGTATTTACATGGTGATCAGCTGTGATTGGACACAGATAATCATGTGGAAAAGGGCCGCTGTGATTGGCCCCTTACCATGCCATGTGATCAGCTGTGTCCAAAGGACACAGCGATCATAGAGAGAGCCAGGTGTACACTTCTGGGGACGCATTCTAAAGATCTAGTGTATACAAGAGAATCAGGATCTCCTTTTCTTGCTGCTGATCCCTGCAATATTGTACCCCAGACATTTGCTCACTTTCCCCTCTGCCATGTCACAATTTTTGCCCATTTTGCAATCATCTAAAATAAGCACACCCACATCTTCTTATTCTGTAGTTCTGGGCAACACTGTATCCCCAATATTGTACTCTGTCAAAGGATTATTTTTCTCTTTTAAATACATTATTTTGTATTTAGAAATTTTAACTCCTTCCCTCTGGCCGTCCGCACACATGTGGCCACTTGGTGGGTGGACCTTAACATATTGTAATATATGTGTACCTAAAAAAAACAGAAATGTGCAAAATTACCGATGGCTAAAGGAAAGCTCCTGATCTCTACTTGCAGTCGGGAGCTTTCTGATCATGTGACTGCTGTGACAGCCAATCGTGGTGGTCACATGATCAGAAACCCCGCCCCTGTGCCAGTGCCAAGGGGTTAAACTGCAGTTTCTGTTGATTGACCTATCTTCCAGCAGTGCCAAATCATGTTCCATGTTACAAACACCACTAAAAATACAACTCACTTCACAGATCCCAGAAGTTTACGGGACCAATCAGAAGGCGCAGCACGACTTGTGCATTCAAAGTAGGAAACCGGCTGTGATTTCACTTCTGGTTTCTCTTACTTGCAATGCCGGCGCCAGGAACCTGGAGAGTAGTAAAGAACCCCTGGAACCCTGTCATATTAAAAGTCAAGAGCTACAGTATTTGTAGCTGCTGACTTTTCATTTTTGAAAAGGAGCCTGGAACTCCTCTTTAATCAACTCTAAGCAGTTACGGAGAGAGAAAAGAGCACATACAGGCAGGAGTGCACTGACAACTCATGGGGCCCCCGGGCAATAGAGGATCATGGGGCCCCTGTGTCCTTGCCCAAACTCAAAAAAGCCTATGAAAAAGGTACCTGGGGCATCTCATGGGGCCCCCTACTGACCCCGGGCCCTCGGGCAGTGCCCTAGTTTCCAAATGGTCAGTCCGCCCCTGCATACAGGTTACTAAAGAGCTGACTCAATCTTAAAGTTAAGCAGAACGAGGGGCGGACTGACCATTTGGAAGCTCGGGCAAATGGCTTCCAAATGGTCAGACCATTTGAGGGCCCGGGGTCAGTAGGGGGCCCCATGAGATGCCCCTGGTACCTTTTTCATAGGCTTTTTTGAGTTTGGGCAAGGACACAGGGGCCCCATGATTCCCTATTGCCCGGGGGCCCATGAGTTGTCAGTCCGCCCCTGAGCAGAACTGAGCATCATACTTTAGACTTTAAATAATGGAGCATTAGAAGGGTATACATACCTTTTACTGCCTTCAATCCAGTCCTCCCAAGAAGCCTGCAAAAAGTCCGGCTTGCTGGGCAAACAGAGATAGAGGCTGTGTATAATCCTCCTTGAGCCTTACAAGTGGCTGCTCAGCTACAAATTACTGTACTGTTGGGGCAAATGAAGTGTTGCATTTTCTCCCACACTGTTAGTACCAGGCATTGTTGGGTGAGCCAGTGGTGGATCAGAGTGGCATGGAAGAGAATTAAAGGTTACCATATCCCGCTGATGCTTTACTGAAAAAAGTTATTTTGCTCAGCATAGGCTAAGTACTGGGTCACTATAAGTTATTTCTAACATTTTACGTATGAAAGTAACTTAGTGCAAGGGGTCTTTTAAAAGCTTCTGCGCTTTTATATATATAATAGAGTTTTTAAAAAAGTGCAGAAACTTTTTGAAGAATCCTTGTACAATATATTTTTTGTTTCAATTTTGATAAGCTGACAGCTGACTGAAAAACTAGCTTTGTAGTTTGCTGCCTGAAGCAAGCATCTTTTTGATTGCTACTGTGCTCAACCAGTAGCTCATAAGCCATATGTAAATCTCAAATATATTTGACAATGCTCTTGGCATTTTTCACTACTCGTTTGTCAGTTATGGTATATACTGAATATCCAGTAACTAGGAAGCTTAAAGTGTATGTAAACCCTAACAAGGAACTTTCCACCAATTTGGTCCTGGGTGGATGGAGGCACTGACAACTTTATTATCAAACTCAATCTTCCACTTAGGGAAGGTTCTGGTTCTCCTATTTACCTACAGGTTTAGCGCAATATCCTGTTTGAGGAGGGTCATTTCTCATTACCCCCCCTGCCCCCCAAAAAAAACAGGTCAATATCACCTTAGGGCAGAAAGTATATACTCATTTTTTGTTCTTCAGTTTAAAAACATTTTAACACATTTTGACTTTATTATATCACTTCACTGAAATATTTATATTCCTTACAAAATCTTTTACATTTGTTATACGCATTGGTCTCATTTCTGTGCTAAACTCTATACCATATGTTCAGTCAAATTTAAACTTTCATTTTCCACTGTCATTTTATAGTGTAGAGTTAAATTCAATAGAAAAATACAGACAGTTTTGATTTCTTATTACATTATAATAAATGAGGCTTATTTCATTTACACAAATATGGCTTATGTGGTGGCAAAGGTAAAGATCCTTTGATTCAAAAAGCTGGATGGTATATCTATAGCAGCGGTCTCCAAACTTTCTAAACAAGGGGCCAGTTTACTGTTCTTTAGATTTTAGGTGGGCTGGACTGTGGCCAGCAAGAATAGAAATTTTCCTGGTATCAGGTGGGAGTAAACAGTGCCCCATCTTTAGTATTAGGGGGAGGAGGAATAGTGCCTCATTGGTGATGTCAGTGGCATGAATTATGTTCCAGTGCTGGTGTCAGAGGGCAGAATAGTGTCTCCTTTCAGTGGGATGAACAGTCTCCCAAGAGCCGGATAAAGGCAAGCAAAGGGCCACATCTAGCCCCTGGGACACAGTTTGGAGACCGCTGATCTATACAGATGACAAGATTGGTCATTGCATCTTTTTCTTGTTTGTCTGTGTACCATTTAGGTAAATAAAACAAATGACTTACCACTGTTATGCCATCATTCAGCAAAGACTCTCCAAAGATTGCCATATATAGCTGTTCGTTTACAGATATCTCCTCAAAGACAGCAAGGACGGCCACGGGATCAACTGCTGATATTAGGCTTCCAAAGAGCAAATTTTGTAGCAGATTAATATCAGTTAATGCGAAAGCTTCAATCTGACAGATGGCATATAGAGAAAGACCAATTCCAAAGGAATTAATAAGCGTCCCCATCACAGACCACCAAATAATGGTTCCAATGTTTTCAAAAAAAGGGCGCGTAGGTAGAAAATATCCCCCTTCAAGCACAATTGGAGGCAGTAGATAAAGGAAATAAATATCAGTTCTCATAGCAGGTGGTGCTTTGTGATCTGTCCCAAAAATGATTCCTCCCAGTAGTACACCAATAGCTATCAGAATGCAGCTCTCGGGCATTATTGCTGGCAGTTTGTGGTACAGATGAAATCCTATGGAATAAAATGATATTCTTTAGGAATAATACAAAACAATATTATGTAAATGATTTTAGCAGGTGTTTCCTAGCAGTCAGCAGGTCCACAGAATTAGTCTTCACCTGATGTTGGCTGCTGGGAGGGTATTTAACTCCTCATCTAGAATCTTTCAGTGCCTCAGTATATTAGCCTATGTGTCCATGCTCTCTTTCCTGGAAAGCTATAATGTTGATTCTAAACTTGCCACCTGTTCCTTCCTCCTGTGTACCTGATCCTTATCTTGGCCCATCTTACTCGCTGCTCCAGCATGTCCATTTGACAAAAGCCAGACGTCAGGCCGACTTCTGTCGGACAGGCTGCCACACACACTGACTGAATGTCAGCCGGTTTCTGTTGAAGCCGATACCGGCTCATATTTGCCCTACGTGTATCAGCCTTTTGTATAATTCAGCCACTGGTTCAAATCTGCTCTGAGCTGGCTTTACCTGTTATCTCTTGTAGTAATGATTTTTGTCCTTTTAGGGTGCTGAACTGAATTAGGCTGCACATTCTCTAGTCAGATAGGGAAATTGTAAGTTGAGTTTTGTTCAACCCACATTCCAAGCCTTGTCAGACCTATTACCCCAGCAAGAGGTAATTGACAGCAGCGGGAGCCAATGGCTCCCACTTGCTTCCTCAGCCAATGAGGAGGCAGAGAGTTAAGGTTATCATTCACATCGCTGGATCACAGTGAGGCTCAGGTAAGTATTGAGGGGGCTGTGTGCAACCCAATGTGATCTAGGCATCTTTTGCTGTGTATTAAATGTTATTGGTTAAACAAGATTGTATACATATAGTAACAGCACAGTATAAAACATCAGTTCAACCAGTTCAGCTCTTACACCTCTGTACTCCTTATGCATCAGAGTAATTTTTACATTACTGCTAGGGGCCTATTGATTTGGCAATAACATTGTTATCATTGTTGTTTTTCAAGCAAGGCTTTTTTTTGGTGATATTGTCTTGCATTTTATTTTCCATTTTTTTTTATGTACAGTATTTAAAAAAATAAATAAAATGTATGTAAACGAAAAAAAAAAAGTTCATATATTACAGATAAATACAATGAAAAAAAAATCAGCAGAAAAAGAATGCTAATGGGCATAATTAGGGCTGATTAGAGCTAAGAATGGGTGAAAGTGTGACTTTTCTTGGGGGTATTTTTAGTGAGAGTTTGATTTATTATTAGAGCTAAGAATTAACAGGGATCAATAGGAACACATTTTATTTCTTTTTTTTTACTGATTGATATCATATCATATGCAAATTGAAGGTCACTCATTTGATCTGCAGCTGAAAAACCCCCCAAAGTAAATACAATGGATCAGTAATGTTATAATTTCTGAATGAAACGTTTACATTTTGACAGCCAGGATTTGTTTACCCTCTATTCCAGGGTTTCTCAACCAGGGCCCATGGAACCCTAGGGATTCTCCAGAGGTTGCTAGGGGTTCCTAGAGAAATGAGCAATTTCTCCCTCTCAGATAAGTTGTCACTGACACCATTGATCATTTTACGTATCTGTAAGGCTAGGTTCACACCTATGCAGTTTGCGTTTGATGCGTTTCTGCAGTGCTATTTGCGGTGTGTTTTGTATTTTTCCACATGCGTTTTTGACTTTTTTTGATGTGTTTTGTGGGGGGTTTTCCCAACTTGTTGCTGGACAGAATAAAACGCATCAAAAATGCAGTACATGCTTTTCTACAGCGTCTCCTTTCCAAAAAAAATGCACCAGGTGAAAACGCAGAGACGTGAACGTGTCCCATGGGAAATCATGTTAAATTGACTGATGTGCGTTTCTCCAAAATTAAACGGAAAAACTTAGGGGGTATTTCTTCCCAATGACCACAGATGTTAGGAGCATTCTTCCCACTGACCATCACACTAATGTATCCTGAGTTGTAGATATAATAATTTTTAGCAGGGTTTCCTTGAGACCAGAAGGTTTATTTCAAGGGCTCCTCAATGTGGAAAAAGTTAAGAAAGGCTGCCCTATTCGGTCTGACACAGGCACAAACCGCAATAAAACAATGAAAACTTTCTGCGCTTTCAATGAGTAAGAACAGTTTTGCCTGGAGTTGTGCTTTAAGTGACTTAAATGAAATAAAAAATAGCCAGTACAGGAAGGATATAATATGAATACCCATAATACAGGAAGGGATATATGATACAAGGAGCAAGCATGCAAAATACATTGGAGCTAATGAATTAGGACCGCAGTGCACAGATGATCTGGCCATCAGATCAGTCTGTATGTAAATGTAAATAATATAAGTATCCCTCTCCTGCATGAGCCAACCCATATCTTCTTCTCCTCTGATGACATTCAGCTGGTCACCTGTAAGCTGTATAAAATATATTGAGGCTCTGCTGTTTCTTAAAACATTTCTTAAGGCTAGGTTCACACCTAAGCAGTTTGCATTTGACTCGTTTCTGCATTGCGTTTTGCGTTGTGTTTTTAATTTTTGCACGTGTGGTTTTGCTGTGTTTTTGGTGCGCTTTGCATTTTTAGTATTTTTTCTTGCTGCTAGGTAGATTTAAAACTCAAAACGTGGCAAAAACGCAGCAAAAACGAACTACATGCT